GCCAATGAAGGTTCACCTGGCTAGGAAAAAATTCTCTCTCTCTCTCTCTCTGCCTGCATGCAGAAGTCATGAGACCCCTCTTTTTCCTCTGGTTCACCCACTTCACAGGCCTGGATGAAATCATTGACAATGCCACCATCCAGGGGCTGAAACCGCGTTCGGAGGTCCTTGACTACAGCAAGCCATGCCCTCTAGCGTGATGCACGACAAATGCCTATGAGGGGGACCTGCAATCATTTAAAGCCAAGAATTTCAGCATTCTGCGAGGAAATTCTGTTGACTGTTAGTATGGTCAAGCGCGAAAGATAAGAGCGTTCTGTTTCCCAGGGCAACCTTCCAAGTGTCAGTTACAAACCGCATAAAGGTGTTTGGAAGCAAAATTTACAAACGTGATGAAAGCACACAAAAACATCCCTTCCGCGTGCGCACTGTGCCAGTCGGGCAAAAGTGGGTCCTAGCATACTTACACCCCAGAGTCCTTTTTTCGAGGTCTCAAGATACCTCAAATATTGTGCTCGAACAACGTTTAACATGTTAGGATTTTGCAAGTCAAAAGTCAAAAGGGGGTGCAGAGGCTGGTGTGGCGGTGTGGCATGTCAGCCCTTGGTCGAGGCCCCTCTCGACCCGGGGTCGACTGCCAAGCGACGCGTTGAGACTGGTTGATTGGCCGTCTCGACCAGTCTCGATGGGGTGCCATCAATCAACAACTGTAATTCCAGACCTCGAACCCCAATGCACTTCTCCACCCTACCAAGCCCCGTCACCAAGCTTGATCAAACCAATCTGAGAAAAGCTACGCCAAACCTCGACCTCTCACAGACAGCTTTGAGACCTCTGACTGGTCCAAACCTCAATATCACTTGTTTTTCGCTCAAAAACTCTCAAACTGTACTAAGCATTGCTCAAGCTAGGCAAAAAAATCTTAACACAGATGTGTCTCTCTCTGTCTCTGCGTGGCTGTCTGCTGCGAAGGTTCGCCCACAAAGCCAGGAGTCACGTTCTTCGGAGCCTGAGGCTCGGCGTCCTGGAGATTGCTGCTGGGAGAGAGAATTCTGTGATTTTTCTCATCAAGTGCTCCTGGCACAGCAGTGGCGATTGCCCTTCCATCTGTGCCATATCCGCCTCCATCATGATCAGTTCCGATGGCTCCTGCTGTCAGGCGGAAACACATTTCAGATGGTGCGTCAGGGCTGTTCCAACGCAACTCAAGGGCAAATGGCAAAATCCGGGCCTGGCTGTGCGACGCATGTGCAAGGCCCAGAACAAGGCACACGCCGAGGGATCTCGTGCCGCAGCGCATTGCTCAGTGAGCTGGGATGTCAGAAAACAGGTTCGGTCAGCCGGCAGGGCCCCAAAATGCTTCGGCATGCAGCAGCAGGACATCACCTGCGACACATGAGCCAAGATTTGCAACGAAAGCAAACAAAAACATTTTAGCCCTGCACCGTTTGCCCGGCTTCATTGGCGGATGGAAGTTGATTTTGTGCCACCTCGCACCTCTGCCGCAAGAGCGGCTTGCATAAACATGTAGACTCGCATTTCGCAATGCGTGTTACCTTAGATTTTCGCGTTGAACCTCATGTCCGTCCGCTGCTCACAGTCAGAATCCTAACAATCTTGCAGAAAATTCGAATTCTGGGTGCGGATGAGCATGCAACATCTGCTCGACAGCAAGTCCAACGGCGATGACCTGCCGTTGGACTTGCCAAAAAGCAGGAACATGACATGATCAAAATGCGGGCTTCCTTCGAAAGCCACCCCCCAGAATATTTTTGATTGGTCTGCACCCGCTTGCGGGAATTTTTCCACATGTCAACCCAATTCCTGGAAAACATATGCTGGTCCCAACATGTAAACTTTCCTAAATACATTCCAGGCAATGTCTGAGTTCATGAAATTGAACATGCATTCATATAGCACACGATCATTCTCGCAAACAGCAGGCATAGCAGCTGGGGTCTGCGGTGTCAAATCAATTTTTATCTCAAATTGATGTTTCGAATCCAAGACAAGAATCATTTTGTGGCTCAATCCTGACATATAGATCCGGTCAACAGGAAAAAGGGCTCAAAAATCACCATGGCAATACGCGGAAGACAGTGAATTCAGTACAAGTTTGCATACATACACTTTAAAAGCGGATTCGCTACAGCGCTTGACAGCTATGAAGCCAGACTACCAACAAGATATTGAGCAGACACAAAAAAAAGAAATCCTGACACAGAGACGTGAGAAGGATTCCTGCGGAATAAGAGCAAGCTTCGAGGAACGATGAAGGTTCATATGAATCAGGATACGGCAGCGGGAAACATACAAAGGCGCGAAAGCAAAGAAACCATTTGAAATGGCAAGGTAGCAGGAAATCAGGATGAAACACAATCGTTCCAATTCAAATGACAACATGAAACACCTGAAGCACAACACACACGCAAAACATACAAACACCTGAGATACAGTGCGAGGCAGGCGGCCATAACAGGAAACAAGCAAAACCACAAACACTGCCATCAATCAGTGTGCCCTGTAGACCCAAGCTGAACCTTTAACTGCATGAGCCGGCAAACCTTGCACCTCATATTCTTCATCTTACATCTTACCAAGTACAAACCCTACAAACACCACAGGCTCCGAGTCCTGTAAAGACCACTTCAAATCCAAAAGGTGGAAGAATCATGTTATAGCATGCAAATAACAATGCAACCATGGCAATCTGTGCTGGTCCAGGCAATTGCTGGGGGAATGGGTCGCGCGCTGGTGTATTTTTATTTTAAGGGGAGCAGCCGCGCCTGGGTTGCAAGATGCGCTGAGAGACAAATTGAAAATTCAAGAAAGATCGGCACTGGTCAACTTGCACCCATTCCCCCCACCCGCCCCCTTGCACAAGACTTTCTCGGTCAAAGCTCGCAGAAAATGTTGGGATCCGAGCATTTTTTGTGTAGAGGATCAGGGACTTCAGGGCGCTTAAGAATGTACAGCGTTATGAGGCTGATAAGGGGTTTGAGTTGTCTTTTTAGGTTAGGGTCTTTTTAGGTTAGGGTTGCAGGTTAGGTTTGATAGAATTGGAGGGTCACACCAAGACACCCACTCAGGATCCGGACACATCAGCCCACACCCAGACACCCACTCAGGATCCGGACATGTGAGCCCACACCCACACCCACGCCCACATCCAA